AATATTTAATAATACATTTCTACCTAAGTATGTTAAATTGTAGAGCTAATTTAAAACTATTTAGGCTAGAGTTTTTAGTAAGATAACGCTAAGATCTATATAGCTAAGAACGTTCTAGAGTAGTTTTAGCGTAAGCATATTAGACTTTTTAAGCATCCGCTATATAGCCTAGATCTTAACCTAATAGAAAACGTATAGAGCTTACTTAAGGACCGGCTTACTAAGCTACCTAGTAGGTCTCTTAGCGTTAGCTCTATAGATAAGAGTATAAATACTTTTATTAGCGCAATTAAATAAGAGTAGGCTAATATTCTATAAAGAGATATAGATAATTATGTCTTATCTATAGAAAACTAATATACTAGAGTAGTAGAAGCACAAGGCTGGTATACAAAGCATTAGTTAGTAGCTAGAAGATAATAGAAAAAATCTTATTTTAAAATAAAGTATTTCTATATTATAAAAAATAGATAGATAATATATCTCTATCTTAATATATATTATATATCTTACTAATCTAACTATATATAGTACTTATTAGTATATAAGATCTAAAAATAGCAGCGCGAAATATTTAGTTAGAATCTAGAAAAATTACTTCTCGAACTTTAGCATATTTTGTAGCAATAATTAAGCTCACTAAGCATTACGTAATATAGTTATTATAAACTACTTAATATCTAGTTTTTAATAGACTAACCCGTTTAAGTATAGGTGCTCTATAAGCTGAGTTATCATCTTTTAAAAACTATTACTTTTTTAACTACGTTTTTTTTTGTCACCCCCCTGTAGTTTCTTCTATAGGTTTATATTTTACTATCTTAGTTAATTTGTCTATGATTACTAGGATTATATTATATAAAAAAGCGTATCTTAGTTCTAATAATTTTAGATGTTTTACTATAAAGTCTATTATTATACTTATTTATAGTTTAGATAGTAGCTATAAGAGTTATAATAGGCTATAGAGCTTATATCTCTAAGACTTATTCGAGTAATATACTAAATAGTTACTTAGTATTTTCTAAACCTTTACTCGTAAGCGTAGTATCGCAAATATCTTAGCTAGTTATCTAACTATTTCTTTAATTTCTACGTAACGTAGTTCACAAGCGAGCGCGCCACCTAAGCGAGCGCGCCACTTTATACTAACGCGTTAACTTTGTAATAGTATTACAGCCTTTTAATATAGTATATCACAAATCGTAATAAGCTAAATTACCTCTTAGATCTATCGCTATTACTAGTACTAATAATATCTACTTTATAGGTACGCGCGTTATACCCAGTCTCTTTATAACGCCCGCACCGCCTCTCTTCTCGCACCCTCTTTAACGCACTTTCCCTATTACTATAACTACTACCCGCCTATTTAGCTAATACTTCTTATACTTCGCTAATAGTAAGAGTCTTTTCTATCTATACGTATTGCCACTTACGGCTCTTTTACTTATTTACTACGTCTAAAGCCTCTTAAAAGATGCTTATATTCTCTATTTTTAATACTATCTTATATACAATTTACTAAGCCTCTTTACTTAACTACGTAATATTTTTATTAAGGGAACTTACAGAAGACCTAAAGCGGTTTCTTACTCTCTATTATAGGGGGGGGACAAAAAAAAACTTACTTAAATAAGTTAATATTTTTATAATAATATGTCTCGGCGGCTAAATAAGCTATAGTAGTAAGAAAAAAATATATTATAGAGAATATCTAGAAGTTTATATAAGTAGTATAATAGTATTATTAATAAGCATATCTGCTTAGTAATATCAACGTGAATCTAGAGGAAAAAAGTTAAAAAACTTTATTAGCATTTTTCGCGCTGCTATTTTTAGATATTTATATATATATTATATTAGATAGATACTAGACTTTTTAGATTATATATGTATATGTTAATGGCTAGAGAACTTTAAACAAATAGAATGTATTGAGAATAATGGACTAATCAATCTACTAATCTAGATCAGTAGATCGGTCAGACTATATACTTATTTAACTAAGTCTAACTCTATTTAGTAATATATCTTAGTCTTTATCTAATCTACTATTCCTCTATCTGATCTTATTAGATAGATTAAAGGATCGGACGGATTATATAATCCGGGTTAGGTTGGTCACCAACTAACTAACCCATTAGTTCTGCGATAGTATATATATATATTATATATAGTTATATATATAGATATTAAGAAAATCTAGTAATAGATATATAGAGTCTAAGTCACGTAATTAATATCTAACTAAGATATTAGTAATCTTAAAGTATATATTTACTTCTTTGAATATCGAGATAGTTAATTACCTATTTCCTTACTATACAGCCAAAATTATCTAAATTTAAATCTAACGTCTATCATTTACTTAAGGCAGATATACCTATTAAAGATATTATTAAATACTTAAATAAACCTTTAAGATCTATCTAAGACGCTATTAATTAAATTAAAAAGAAAAAAAGAGATATTAATATTAAAGAGAGAACTCATAGAGGCAGAATCTAAGAGAGATCTTCTAGAGCAAAAAGAGCTATTAATGGAGATATAACTAGAAGTCCTAAGAAGATGAATTAGAGAATTCTAGAAGAGAATAATCTAGATATATCGTCTAGGTCACTTGGACGAGTTCTAAGAGCTAAAGGTTAGACAGTTAATATCTGCTTTAAAAAGTCTATTTTAAACGCTAAAAAGCTAAAAATAGACTAGCATGGGCTAAAAATAGATAAAAATAGCTAGGAAATATTAACTTTAGTAAGATTAAATTCTTAGATAAGTTAGGAATATAAAGGTATTAAGGAGTTTAGTTCATATATGCGAGAATACGCGGAAATTAGTAGCTAGGGCAAAATTTAGCCAAGAGCAGAATAAGAAGTATGTTTAATAATAATATATATATATATATAGATATTCTATAAACTCTATAGATTATATACATATTAATATATCTAATATTAGCTAATTACTAATAAATATATAGGCTATGATATTACTATCTAAGTCTGGGGAGCTATTTAGATAGGCGGACAATTAGATTTAGTAGTAATTAAGATATTAAAGACGACTATTTCTTATTAAAAATACTATTATATCTAAAAATGCCTTATTCTATATATTAAACCTAAACTTAAGAGAGGTAAGAAATTCTAACTATTTCTTAATATATATTTATATATATCTAGCAATTATATACTATCTTACTAATATAGAGTAATCTAGGATAGAGTTTTTAGTAAGATAACACTACTATCTACTCTGCTAGTAACGTACAAAGCTGGTTCAGACGAAACTACGTGTTACACGGGGTTGGGTGCTAATACTTCTCTAAGCTCAATCCAGGTTAGGGCGAGTAAGAATATATAAATAGCGCCGTAAGGTAGTTGTCTGGCGATGCAGTGGAGTGGGCGTACTTATAAGATAGATAATAATAGGTTTAATAATTTCTAATCTATATCGAATAGACTAATAAGTATTAATCTTATAAAGTTAAGTAACTAGTAAGAAAGTATAATTTAAGTTAACCACAACGAGAGTAATAATAAAATCTATCTATCCTTATATTCTTATTACTTCTAGTTCTAGCTTTACGGTCTTTACGAAATAATCCCTGTATCTTCTAAAGTCCCTAAAGACATCTAGTTACGTATGAGGGTGTTCTTACATACTAGCGCAGGATACTTAGTCTTAGCGTAAAGCTAGTTACGTGATCTTCGCCCTACGATAATTATTACCTTCTAACGTAGACGTCCTTAGGCCTTCAGCTATCTCGTTATTTATTAAGAAGAGAATCCTTCTTGTTACTTATAATATTACCTTCCCTCTTAGAGCTATCGTCTTAATACTCTAGAATATCGTTTTCCCGTACTACGTATTAAGACGCCGGCTGTATATAAGGTTAGAGCCCGTCTACTTATTATAGCCGTCTCTATCTCGTAGCCTTCCTAACTATGCTAAAGATCTAGTTAAACTACCGCGTCCGTACTTAGAATTTAACTTCTTAATATTAGGCCCGTGCTAACCGTATAAGGGAATAAGATCGTAAAATAACTTTCCGTTGTAAACGTTATAAAGAGAAGAATCTTTAGTATTTTATAGATATAGTAACTAGTCGCTGTGCTAGTTATATTTCTATTTCTACTAAGTGTAGTCTTTTCGTGTCTAAGGAAGAGTAGGAGAAGGTTAAAGCTAAAAAGTAGTAAAAACGTCTTAAAATCGCTTATGCTAAGGAATGCTAACTTCAGACCGCGATAGAGACTACCCGTCTTTATTATAAGCTTCTAGAGGTTAAGGCGCGAGAGCGGGAATTCGCTGATCGAGATTATGCTATCCTAAGTTTTTAGGACCGGGCGAAAGAGTAGGCTAAGAGGAACTCTACCCCTAGTATGGGCCTTCCTATTATCAAACTACCGCTATTTAAACTATTAGCTAATCTAGGCTAGTTATAGGCTAACTCTTTTAATTCTTCTTTTAATTATTCCTTTCTCTTTAAGAGGCTTCCCCTCGCTTCTCTAAGTGCTTCTAGTAGTATTCACGTACTAGTAACTTGCAGTTCGTCAGGTTTCCTTCAGATTCCTAAGTGTTATAGTTTTTAGACTATCTTTACTACTTAACTAAGTACTTCTACTAACTACCGATTTTCCGTAGGTTCTTAATTTCTTTAACCTTATACTCGTCGTCTTTAAGCTCTATATCTATTACTAGCTTAGTATCTAGAGGTGCTAGTTCTAAGAGTTTCTTATAAAAGATAGGGTAGATTTATATACTTTATAGGAGTTTTAACTTATAGTTTACTTTTTCTATTTCCTCTAGAATTTTAAATAGTTCTATTTAGAGGTTATCTAATTTTCTATATAGTTGTTTAGTTTTTAGGTTTTATTATAATAAGAAAACTTTATCCCCCTTCTTAAAGGTTAGTCCCTTAATCCTTAGTTTATTCGCTGTTTTGAATATTATAAGGTTCTATTAAGCTATATTCTTACTTAATTCTTTATATAATTCTTATATAAGCCTTACTTTATTATCTACTCCTATCGCGATACTTTTAATATCTTTTAGATCTCGCTAAGTAATTAGCTTATATCTATAGTTCGCGTAGTGTAGCGAATGCTTTGTTATTACTAATTTCGTACTGTTGTAGGCCAATTGCGCTGTTAGTAGTAACTCTACCTAGTTATCCTATAATTTATTAGCGTACATCCGTAGGTACTGTTCTAATGTCTAGTTCGTTTGTTCTATCTAGCCGTCTGTTTTAAGGTGAAAGCTTGTCGAAAGCTTCTTTTTAACACCTATCCTTACTAGGAATGTATTCTAGTATTTAGACGTAAATAGTTTATTATAATTAGTAATAAACTCTTTAGGTATTCTATACTCTAATACTAATACTTTAGTTACTTCGTACGCGTATTCGTCTACCGTAATAGTCTCTTCTATAGATATAAATTTTACTATCTTAGTTAATTAGTCTACGATTACTAAGATTATGTTGTAAAATTAGGCTAATCCTAGATCTAATAATTTTAGAAGCTTTACTATAAAGTCTATTGTTATACTTATTTATAGTCTAGACGGTAGCTATAGAGGTTATAATAGGCCGTAGAGCTTATGTCTCTTAGGCTTGTTCTAGTAATATGCTAAATAGTTACCTAGTATTTCCTATACCTTCGTACGCATACGTAGTATTACAAACACCTTAGCTAGTTATCTAACTATTTCTTTAATTTCTATATGTCCGTACTCTTAGAACTTATATAGTTTCTATATAAGACTTGATCTTATATATAGAGGTATATATATTCAATTCTTTAAAACTATATCTTAGTACTCTCGTTCGTCGTTCAATAGTTCGTCGGAGCCTACTTTATTAGGCTTGAACTGCTAGCTTGCTACTCGCTGCTACTATTACTATTATAGCGTTTCTATCTGCTTAGCTACCTTAGCTACTTTAGCTAGTTCTAGCTGGTTATACTTTAGACTGCTATTAGGCATCTTCTTAAGTAAGGCGTTATATAGTTCCTTATAACCCTCTTCGCGTAAATTAAACTTTCTACTTAAAGCGTCTACTGCTCTATTAAGCGTTCCCCCGTAGTGCGTAATCTTAAAGTCGAACTAGGCTAGTATCTCTATCTATCGCACTTATTGTTAGTTAAGTTTTTTTTATTATTATAAAACTCGTTAAGTTCTAGTAATTAGTAAAAACCTTAATCTAGTTAGGGAGTCCTAACAGGTATACTTCCTATTATTTAAAGGTATTAACTACTCTAAGTAGTTCCTTATCGTGAACATCGTAATTAAGTTCTACTTCTAAGAACTTTCGTGAATAGTAGAACACTAGTCTCTATTTTTTATCTAAGTACTGCTATGATAGT